TTTTCGATGTTCCAACTTCAGTAGGCAATGTTTCTCCCCCTGGCTGGCCCCCGCACTCCACCCTTGTGTCTTTTTGTTTTCACAACATATTTATATAGCTGAGAACTATTGGGACCTGCATGTGGTCACACAACCTGCGTTTATCACATTTAATAGCCCCACTCTCATAAATAGCACATATGAGGACGGGAACCAAAGGCTGTTTGCTGCTTCTAATGTACGATGGGGTTAAAGTGTGTCTACCTGTTTCACTAGTGAAACCCCTTGGTGTAGAGTAGACCTGCACTGATGCAGCTTACTTCAGAGCAAGATGCACTAGTTTGTTACTTTTTATAGTAGTGCAGTGTGTCCGCATTGTAGCTACACTTATACACTGAAGTGTTTTTATAACACCCCTTATAAACTAATTAATCCTCAGAAAATTCAGTACGGGTTGTCTATCTAAAAATGTTTTGAAATTATAAAAAGAAATTATGTAAATACTTTGCTGGAGAAAAACTGCAATAATGTATCCATCTCCAATAAGCACTCTATCTCAAGCCAGTTAATATTTTACATTTGTGGGTTTTTTTGTCACAAAGGATCTGAAACTGCTATACAGACTACATATATGCAGCACCACTGAAATACTGCTTCATTGGTCCTGTATGCCTCATGGTGGGGGGCGGGGGGGGAGATAGTTTCTCATGACTGAAAGAAAATTCATTCTTCTGTAGAGATACTCGGAGAGAATTGGGGCAGCAACAAACTGGTGCACAGCATGCCACCCAACCCTGTTGAGGGGATGTGGGGACATGGCAATTAAACCCTGCTCATACAAAAAGTGCCATGGGATCCTTCATACTCTTAAAGAGCAGAGATAACTTCTGCTTAGGTCTCATCAAAAAGTGTTCCCACATATTTTAATATAATTGTGTGATTAATCCTTTTAGATGAAGACCAGTTACTAATTTTTGTTGGTTGCCAAAGACCTGCTTTGTTGTGGTTTGTTTCTTAGTTTCTTTTACTGGTGTTCATCTTCGTTTTGGAAGACATTATCCCTCAAATCTCTCCCCTTCCTGGGATTTATTGTAACTTGTTGCCATTTTTGTCAATTCATGTTAAGAGTAGCAATATATTATCTCTGGATTCTGGAAAATATCTTTTCTTTAAACATAGTAGTGTCCATTTTACAAATGTTTTGAATGTTTCTACGAAACTGAAAATACTAATACATCACTTGGTGTGTGTTAATAGTAATTTTTTTTTTAGCAGGAAGAAGGCTGCTGTTTTAGAACCTAGGACAGTATCTTGATGTAACTTGGTGTTCTCATCTGTATAAATGTCCAATACTGCTCAGAATCCTACTAAGCTCTCTTTCTTCATGTTATTCTAGTGATTTCCACAAGCCAATTTTTTAAAATATTTCCTTTTATCAGTTCAAAACTTACTGCCTTTAAATTTTATTAAATTTCCCTTTGTTACTGTTGGAGAAGATAAATAGAAGTGCCTCATCTACTGTCTCTTAAATCATGCATTATTTTGTATGCTTTTCCCATCTTCCTGCTTTGTGTCCTCTTCAAACTACACTGACCTAATCTTTGCAGTCTTTATATGCAAGTTTTTCCATGCTTCAGATCACTTTTGTCAGGGATCTCTGAACACCCTCTATTTCTTCTATATCTCTTTTAGAGAAAGTGGCCAATATTTGAATATGGTATACTAAATGAAAGTGTACCATTCTTCTGTATAATGGTATTTGTATTATATAGTCGAACACTTTTTGTCTTTTTCGCTGCCGTTGCATATTGAAAAGAGGTTGACTTATTTTCTTAATTTTATGCATTTGACAGCACTTTGTCAGTTTCAACTATTTTGTTCCTGGCTAGGTGCTCTTTTGTCTCATGCGCAAGCATGCACTTCTGTAGGGGGAATTCATGTGTACAGTCTTTCCTGTATAAGAGTATACCAGTAGCATAAAAAGCTACTCCTGTTCCTGAGTTTGGGACCCAGGGGAGTTGGCTTTTATCTAAAGATATCTGGATCTTTTGCTTCCTTGGTAAGGTGAAGCCTCTCCTATACTACTACTCAGAATTTTGACCCTTTGAAGCACTGATATTCTACCTTCCTTCTGAGGCCAATTGTCAGTGGCCTTGTTTCTATTGCTTTCAAGCAATCCCTGCTGACCTCAATCTGTTTGGACATTGTATAGAAGCCATATACAGCAACTATGTAATCCACTGGGCTAGGAACCATTCAGTAAGGAAGCAAATTTATTGCCAAAGTAGAGAATGCTACTTAGTTAAGATAGTTTTCAGCCAGTAGAGAAGACTCCAGAAAATACCAACAGCAGTTACTATGTAGTAGGTGAGTGTGCTGACACATGCAGTGAATTCCTAAATGTTACCAGGTTGGTACCCTTCAAGTTGACCAGCTTTGTTACAAATAGAGAGTCATTACTCCTTGAGAAAGGAGACAATTTTTCTCTCTGCAAGACAGTTAAGGTCATTAAACGATAATCCTTTCAAGGCTTCAATGTAAAAAAATTAATAATTTTCCAACAGATCAAGATACATAACAAAGGATGAGCTTTCTGGATGATGATGAACTTTGACTGTTGTTCAAGGTGACTGAATTAAACCTGTTACTGAGTGCCTAAGGATTGTCACTCCAGTATTATAGGAGATCACATTGTAATACTGCAGTGCACAACCCAACATTTTACACTGCACTCCTGACTTAAAGGATGGGCTGCCTCCTTCTGTCCCTCCTTCTCATACAAAAGTTCATAAGTACTAGAGAACCTTGTGTGTTCAAGCAGTGGCAATATGAAGGATTGTGAGGAGGCATCTCTAATTAAGAATGACAACTACAGGTCTTTCTGCTTCTCATGGACCAAGCACTGCAAGTAGCTGAGCTACAGAACGCTGTACTCTTTGGTGTCCATTGACTATTTTTTTAGGTCCTTGAAGGTACTAAATCAGGGGTGGGCAAACCACGGGCTGGATCCGGCCCCTCAGGGCTTTGGATCCGGCTCACGGGATTGCCACCCCCATGGTGCCGCAGGCCCTGCGCCGCTCTCAGAAGCAGTCGGCACCATGTCGGGGGGGTGGAGGGGGGGCAGAGAGCTCTGTGTGTTGCCCTTGCCTCCAGGCACCACCCCCCGCAGCTCCCATTCCCCAGGAATGGGGAACTATGGCCAGTGGGAGCTTCAGGGGAGGTACCTGGAGGTGTGGCAAGGACAGTGCGGGGAGCCCCCCCATGGCTGTGCAGGGACATGGTTCCTGCCGTTTCCCAGAGTGGCATGGGGCCAGGGCAGGCAGGGAGCCGCCCTGGATCCACTTTAGGTAAGCAGTGCTGGGCTGGAACCCGAACCCCTCCTGCACCCTGCCCCCCAACTCCCTGCCCTGAGCCCCGTCCTGCACTCCGAACCCTTCCTCTGCCCCAGTCCCTTGCCCTGAGCCCAGTCCTGCACACTGCACTCCCTCCCACACCCCTGCCCAGGCCCTGCATACAATTTCCCCATCCAGCTGTGGCCCTCAGCCCAAAAAGTTTGCCCTCCACTGTACTAAATCATGAAGATCTGAAAGTGTCGGGATTCAAATAGAATAAGTACCTGATATGTATATAGAGCTCACAAGCATGATCATCTCAAAGTCTCAAGGGTAGAGTCTGTCCAGTTCACCATCGCTGTTAGGAACTATGTAACAGCATGTGAAGAGCATAAGCCTAACCCTTAACTGAAAGGGATAAGGAAGAAACTTTTTTATCTTACGGGAATAACCATCCCTGCCCATAAACCCATTGTCTGTACAGGGTTTCTTAATTTTTGTTTCTTGCTGCTGCCAGACACAGGATGCTATACTAGCTGGACCACTGGTCTGATCTAGTATGGTAATTCCTGTGTTTTTAAAATTGACGCTCATCGCCTAACCTATGGCTCACTGATTTGATCACAACGCCTGGAGTCAACTTTACCTGGTTTAAGGATTACCAAGTATTCACATAACATAACGTTATTAAAACCATTTGGAAAGAAAGTGTTGCCTAAGCTACTAACACTTGCTCATTCTGTTAGCGGCATATTCTGAAATACATTTCTTCAGTGTGTTACAGTGTTAACCTCCTGCTTATTTTGTGTGTGCATGTGGAAAATATGTATGGTCAGTATAGCAAATTTATACTTGTGTTTTCCAGAAGAATACACAACTTCTTGACAAGCAAAAATGTAGAACTACTTTTTCATTGTTAATCATCAGAGTAAAAGGTAGATGGCTAGAGTTGTGCCTGGTCTGACAAATTTTCATGACAAATATTGGTGGCCTGAGATAGATGTAGGGCACACAATACTAACTTGTTTATACTTTTCGTATATTCAGCATGTTGTACGTCATCTGAGAAACTGTAAGCTCCTTAGGGCAGGGACAATCTTACTTTGTTCAGAAGCAACCAAAGCAAATCATAGCATTATGTGAGAATGTTAAGTTGTAAACATTCCATGTTCCTGTTAAATATACATTACAAAACACTGTTCCATTCAGTTTGGCAGATTTGATGTTACTTTTTAGAAAGCTTAACTTCAGTCTTCATAGACTTGGACTTTGTGTGACCTTTAATGTTAGAATAAGAAGTGCATTTAATTTTTACTTAGGGTCCTTAATTCACAATATTACACCAGTGTACATAGTTATAATATAAAGAGAAAGTTTAAAGGTGATGCTTTTAAAGAAATTAATGTGTGCTTTAAAGGAAGAAGAGTTTCAGGGCTCTATCAGTTACTTTCTAAAAACTCTCTTGAAATGTTCTGTTTGACTGCTTCTTCATGTTTAGGAGGTTGAGACTAACGCTTTTTTTTTTTCCGCCCCCCCTACAGATTAACACTAAATCCCCACAATGTCCCTGAAACCACGAGTAGTTGATTTTGATGAAACATGGAACAAACTTCTAACAACAATTAAAGCCGTTGTAATGTTGGATTATGTTGAAAGAGCGACATGGAATGACCGCTTCTCGTATCCTTTAAACATAATTTCAACTTCATTTTTCTACATATGAATATATTTTAGCACAGAGGCCATCGCAGTTTGTAACACAGTAATGTGAGCTTGCTCCAAAGCCCATCAAAATGAATGAGCTTATTTCATGGACTTCAATGAGTTTTGGATGAGGCGTTGAGAGGAAGACATGGGGTTTTGTACAAAATTACTTGTTTTTCACTGTTTTTGTATAGAAGTGGAAATAATCAAGTCTGAGTTTTTCACATTGATTTCAGCGGGATAAATCTTAGTAGGTGTAATGAGAGCTGTTTTAACTATTTTCTTTCCCTTCCAAAGAGGTATTTGTTTTTGTTGTTAAACTCATTTTATATCAATCTTCCACTACGCTGGAACTGTTCTACGTTCAAAACGTCTATTGGTTGAGACTCCTCCTCCTAAAAGCAAGCTATTTTTAATTGTACGCTCAAGTAAAACCACTTATTAGTTCTAAGTATTCTTGATAGCATGCAAAGACACAATTGTTATTACTCAGATCACTTCCTTAATAGTGGCCAAGGCAAAAACTTCTGCAGATTAGCAACTCTCATCCTGCTTTAATACCATTTTATTCTTCTCCAACAGCCAAGGATAAATACAGTTTTTGTTTTCTTAAATATAGCTTGTGGTGATACTCACCCTTCCCTCTTTTACGTATAGTCTTACGATATGAAGGATCTTCTTTTTTTGAGAGAAGCATTGTCGCAACTAAAATAGGCCTCTAGCATAATGAAGAGACATAACCTACTGACTTTTTTTTTGCCTTCATAGGGGAAAGCTGCCTTATGGGGAATAATGGGTGAATTCTAAGCGACTTTTCAGAGACTCACCTGCAGTCTGAATCCTTCTGAGAAGCAGTAATTTTCAGACCTAGGAGTCCACATACTACAGGACAAATTTGATACCTAGCTTTCTACCACATAAGTTTACAAAAAGGGAAGAGCCTTTTGAATCTACATCCCATTTAACAAGCTGTTTGCATTTCAGAGTAGATGGCTTTCTATTGTGTCCCTAAATAATAACATAACATTGAGTTTGTTGCAAGTCCACTTACCACCTCACTTTTGAGGACAACAAGTTTTCTGATGGCTCTTGCATTAGAAACCCTTTTCTAATTGCACGTCTGGAGTCATGACTTCTCACCCTGTCTTTGGGACAGCCAGATTTAAAAAGTCAGACTTGTTACTTCTATAATTTTAAAAAGTCACTAGTGATTTGGTTTTGAAGACTTGATTTTGTCAAATTGTTCTGTTACTCTTTAAGCGCAACTCCTGAAAACCAAAATAAGCTGTTTAAGAACTGCATGTAACAATCTCACAAGGAAGCATAAAGCAAGGCTGTAGCTCTGAGATGTAGAAGTTAGCCAGAATCTTCTTTTTTTAAAAAAATAATTCAAAATACTTGCAAATTTACAGTTATGCACTCCAAGAGCCTGCAAAGGAATAAGATGAGTGTTCCTGCCCTGATAAATCACCCACCACAGCATTATTTATTTATTTTTAAATTGTACATGGGAGCCATTGTTTTAAAAATTCAAGCTGGCAGCATTGCTCATGTTTCAGGAGACGTTGAAATTGTTACTTCATAAATCACTATCTGGAGCTGAATATATATATATTTTTATGTGTTAAAAAATACTGCCTTTTTCCTGTATAACCCCAGTTTGTAACTTTTGTATGAGGAACATGGAGATTATTTTTGAACCATGCATGACCAATTTTGTACTGATCCCCCTTTAGAACTTACTCTGCAGCTGACTGAACATCAGTCAACTAGAGAACACACACTAGCAGACTACCAAAATATGGTTAGTGGAGGCCCTTGATGTAATTCCTAGGACCCCGGTGGTCAAAAACTCTTAACTCCATGTTTAAGAACGTGGCAGCATAGTGACTATTTTGGCATCTTGCAGCTATAGGAGAGGAAGAGATCTTCTTGGAATATCCTCTGCAGCAGGATGAGCTTCTGTAGCTTGTAGTTTCTAAGCAAAGATTGGCTCTTTTTGGAGCTTCTACTAGCTTAAGTAAATTATATACATCAACACAAGTCTCATTAGTGGGTATTCAAAACTTAATGACATTACCAATTTTTTTTCTGTACAGTCAGTGTTACAGTTTATTTCAGATTTGGAACAATCATTTAGTAATTCAGATGCTCTTGCAGTGACACTTTAAAAAATAAAAAGCTAGTTTTAAAAAGCCAGCTTTTTTTTACAAGCTGCATCCCACTCACCTGCTACAACAGCTTCAGATGTCTTGCTTAAATGAACATAGTTTAGTTTTGGAACAACCTTTTTTCGTAAGAGTTCAGATTTTAGATATTTGCAAGGGCTTTAACCTTATACTAACTTGTCTTAAATGTATATGAAGGAAATGTTACACCATTTGCCTTTATTTTTCTTGTCTTTTATTAGACTTCGTAACCTAGAGAAGTAATGTGGCAAAGGCATTTTGAACTGTCGTATTAAAACTCTCTCACTATTCAGCACACTTACTCATTATAGCACTATTGATCAGTCTGATCTGTTTATACCATCAATTTTTAAAATAAACTGCTACAACCAGAAGATGGTTATGAAGAATTGGGGGGAGGAGGAGGAAGTATTTAGTTTTTAATTGTGGTATGGTATTAGAAACCTAATATTTACTGTGAATAACTTAGTATTTATATTGCTACAGAAAAAGGAATCCAATTGATTCTAGACCACATTTTGTAGCAGTGTACACTGCAAAAATGGAGACCTATTTACAGGAGTTGAGATGGAGTTGAGTGGTCAAAGTGGGTGAGTGGTATTTCAATGAGGGATGGTGCTCTCAATGGATGAACCTCATTTCTGGCATTTGCTTCTCCCCTCTAATCCAACAGAGCCTGAGGTTTATTGATCTTCTTTTTATAGGGTTGTCTTTTTATTTAGAACAAGTCTCTTTAAAATGATGACAAAAACAGAATAAATGAGTTTGGGATACCAACTGAATAGTGTTACCTGCCTCTGATAAGGAGCAGCTCACAGACTGTCTCTTTATTTAAAGCATGACTCCTTTTTAGTTACCTTTTGACCTTCAGATTTCCTCTGTCTGCACCTCCACAGAAATAAAATTGTTTTGGCATTATTTCACTGTGCAGCTTTATCACAGTACAGATGCTAGTTTGCTTTTGTTTAAAACTTGTTACTGTAAGTATCTTAACTATTGAGAGTAACTTTTTAATTTAGAATGTTAACGTATTGAACAATTTGGTGTGGCAAAGCTTCTAATCAGTAGCTAGCAGGACACCGGTATTTTTGTCAGATTTTATTGGGGTAAGGTAGCTAACTGCCTTTTTTTATTTCGCACACTGTTTAACAATAAAAGTAAATCTTTAGAAAGATGACGTTCAACAGTGCAGAATAGTGTGGCGTTTTGTTTTTCCTTTAGTCTGTTTCACAATATCCAGATTGACATTTAATTGCAGAATTCCAGGTGCCTTGGCTTTTCACACCTGAATAGTCACTTTTTCAGCCAACCAAATAGACTTGGGGACATCCGAAATAAAGGATACTGTATATAGAATATTTCAATTGGGTATAAAATGCTAGTAGTATTTCCTGCTCTGTTTTCCCCCTAACATTTCACAAAGGATTCTGCAAGAGACTAGAAATCTGGGAGTCTGGATTTACCTTTTGTGTTTTTTTTTTTTTTTTACACTCCCATCTTAATTACACCCTTAAATAGGATGCCAGCATAATTCAGGCTTTCTTCAAGTTGGAGTCTGTTGCATGGACATGGCTGCCAATCTTCAGAATGGGATGTGAGCTTCCCTTGTCAGCTGGTTCCAGATGACTTGCCTGTATAAGAATTCTCTGGAAGTTCTGCTTCTGTCTGATGTGCATCAGTTCAGAGACTTCTGCTACTATGTGATTCTAATCTGGATGGGTTTTTGAACCTTGAGATGTGAGTGTTCAGGAGGATTTGGGGACCTCAGAGATTAGGTTGGTAATATTTATCCACCCTTTCTAGATCCTCTCCTTATCCTGAGACAAGCCTAGTTTTGCATTGCTGGCTCAGGCACAATGCAAGTGACAGCTGCCATTCACAGTGTCACATACATACTCCACATGCTCTTGCAACCTCTTCTCTCTACTTAGGGACATGTGCCAGTTGTGCCTCAACTTATTTGGCCTTAGCCAGCTGTCAGATATAGCGGCTGAAATGAAAGGACAGCTGGCTTCCATTGTTCAAGATAAACCCTTGCATAGTAGAAGCAGGATTCCATTCCATCTCCCAAAAGGACAGGAGAGACCCCAGGACAGAAATGACTAGGCACGTCTTGGTTTGGAAATGGATATTTTTGGGACATATTAACAGGGATTTTTAATCACCCTTTTCTTTCTTAGGGGACTTGCTTTGTGAGGGAAGAGGTATTTCTTTTAGCCAACTGTGAGGACAAGTTTGACCGAGGAATCGCCTCCACTATCTCTAAATTATCTATATGAACTGACCCTTTTTTTGGGAGCCAACAGTCTGAGTATTTCACAGGTTTTTTTCCTCTAATTAAACATAATTTTTTTGCCTTCGATAGAATTATTTTTTTTAATGTCCCACTGCTACTCAGAAGGCTCTTCCACTTCAACCAAGAAAGAAAGTGAGCTTACTCCTGTGCCAGGATGGGGAAGGAAGAACCACAAAAATAAACTTTTTCCTTCTTATTCCTGATACTGTATTCTAGAGAATGCCTGTCTGATTCAGTTACTGTTTGACTCCATTGGCTAGAGAAGCTGCAGATCCAACCTGAGTTAAATACTTTTCTGAAGGGTCAAACAGGAGTTGGTGATACTAGTGCACAAATCGATAAAGAAAATTATTTGCTTATAGTGGGAAGCCCCTGTGAAATTCAAACAGTGCAGGTAGTTGCTTATATTCAGCATGCTTACAGAAGTCAAGAAGTAGTTGAACAGATTCCTCAAGTAGCTATAACTTCAGCTGTAGTTTCTTAGCTAAGTATAAAGTTTATTCCAGCTAAGGGATACTTCTTCCCTAAAGACCGGGAAGAAGAATTCTTCTGGGGAAGAAGTCTAATGCTTTGGCAGGTATTATTCAGGCTTCTGTCAAAACAACTTACTTTAACAGGATAGCCTTGAGTAATGAGTTAAATCTGTCAGGGCAAGAAAATTTAAGTTTAGTACTGAGAGAGAATTCTACTATCTGCATTTCTGGTAGATTTTGCATTTGACGCTATTAAATTCTCTACTTTTGCTAGCGCTTCTAACCTAGGCAGGTGTGCTTGCTTACCTGGAAGGCAGATGAATAAGTCAAGTAGCTTCATCTGTGTTTTATTTTAAAAAAGCTTTTGTTGAGTTATTTGGCCAAAGCAATTATGGCACCTCAGAAGATTTTCTGAGCCTGGAGCTGTAACAAAAGAGAATTTTCCATATGTTGGAAAGGCTTGGAATGATGGGAAGGGGAACTAGGGTTTGAGCCTCTTTAGATCCAACAAAAGCCATTTTGACACCTTCTTATGGCCCTAAAGTAAGGGCAAGACTTTCTATGTATTAAAAATAAACAATCTATCTAATACACACAGGATATGAATTAGGATATGCTGTGGAGCTCCTTTAATCCTGCTCTTCACAACAAACTATCCCCAGCTTTCTCCAGTCTTGTAGTGACATATAGTGTCAACAGCGATCTCTGATTTTTGGAAACTGAGGCACTTAAGTTGTCCAACTGAGAGAGCAGCATTTAAGGGATTTTACTCTGTATTCTTTGTGGTCCCCAGGACGAATGGCGCAGTGAGCAATTCTGGCACTTGAAGGGCACATCTTGCTCATGGAAAATCAGCAAGCTCAGGATGGAAACTGGTTTCTGTCACTTTGTCTATCCAGAATTATTGGTACCCTCATGAGGTTGCTGTGTACTGTGGTGTTCTGTATAAACATCTTGCCTTCGGCCCATGAGGACTCTTCAAGTTTGATTCTCAGAAGCTGGCCACACAGCTCCCTGAAGGAAAAAAAGCTAAAGATTCCACCAAGAGAGATGCATGTGAGTCTATGCAATTTGAGTGCAAAGGGGACCACAAGTCAAAATTTGTCTCCTGTTACCCCGAGTTTGGAACTATCAGATCATAAAAGACCTACAGTCTTGCCTGGACTAAGCACATTTCTTCATCCATGTCAAAATCTTGACTATAGAATAGTAAATAAACAGCAGAATCCTGGGGGCTCTTTTCTTTAGAGACACCACAATCCTTCTCCAGTGGATTCAGTTGCTTGCTTTTATCCAAGAAGGCTCACACTTGGCTCCGCAATAGCGTGGCTAAGCAGTCTGCAGCTTCACCTGGGAGTAAGTGTCTCAATGAATTTTTCACTTTAGTGTCCCAGTGGTGTGTTCCCAAGTTTTGGATCTCTGTGTGTCAAAGATCAATGCGAAGATGTAATTTTTCAAGGACAAGAATGCCAGAGAGTTGGTGTCCTGTTAACCATGTCTAAGCTACCGCCTGTATGCCTGCTTTTTTCCTTCCTCAAGCCAAGGATCTCCCCAGAATCCAAGTGCACAGAACTATTCACTGATCCCCATGCAGGAGGATGTGGTGGTATTCTGTAATGGAGAATTTCAGAGACCACCTCTACCATCGTACTGCTGCACCTTCTGTGTTTGGGTTCCACCCCTGCAACCAAACCCAGCCTGTCTGTTGACAAGAAAAAATAGAGACTACTTTGTCTCCACTATTCTGTTTTCTGTGCTATAGTATTGTGGAAAGTGAGCTACATTTGTATACTGTTTCCCTGGAAAATCAGGGAGCCTGCTGAAAGCTAAGATGTCATATAATCCATTTTCTTCAGGAAGGAATTTCTTTGTGTATGAGTTCAACATGACGGCATAGTGAATGTCCTCAATTTCCCAGAGAAGACCTGCTGTATCCATTCATCCCATGTATCAAGATTTTTCAAACTGGCTAATCCTCACCCTAAGTGATCAACATGGAAATTCATGCTGTTTCTAATATGTCATCCCTATGAATCATTGGCATGGTGCCAACCACACTGTTAAATGATAAATGTGTTTTACCAGGGTTTCCACCCAATAATTTCCTTCCCTCTTTGCATGCTGAGGAGAACCCTTCTTGTAAAGTTTTATATTAATATAATACTCCACACACAGATTACAATTCTTGGCTTCTAAGATGCCAGCTACCACATAAACCCCTTTCTGACTTGTTTGTTTTTGTACTTGCATTTAAAACTAAGAATTACCAGTAGGTTTGGAAAATTTATTTGAAACTTCTTTGTATATTTTTTTATTGGTGTTGAATGAGAAAATGGCTTGCCTGCTGTCCATCTCCTTTTAAACTTTTAGCAGGCATGCAAACATGCCATCCTAAACTTAATGTAGTACATGATTAGAGGAAGATGGGTCATGTGTGCTATCTTGCAGTTGATATAATCTTTTGTATGCAAAGGTTTATTTCTAAGATACTGTACTTCTAGCAGGGATGATTACATAAACTTAGTAAAATGGATCAGCATGAATGGGTTTTTCATTTTTTTTTCTTTTGCCTTTCTACTTTTCAAAGGTTACTAAGCAATACATACTAAAAAAAATTGCCTAGTGACCCTAGTATCTGTAAAGGAATCTTTATTCTAAAATGTATATTGTTTCCTTGACCAAGTGATAAATTGTTGAGAAATTACCTTTTCTAGTCAACTTTCCCAACTACAAGCTTTGTGCTTGCTTCACACTTAACTAAGCAAGTCATAAGAGCAAAAGTGGATCCATTCTTCAGTGTCAGTTTCTCTCCATACCCCAAAAATAGCAAGCATAAAAATTCTAATATACTCATAATTCTATATAGGATGGGGATGATTTTTGGCAAATAAAAAGCATCTATTTTGGTTGAGAGTGAAAAATAATTCTTCAGTTTTTGAAATTACCTAAATTTTTTATTTTAAAAGGTCACAGCTTCAGAAACCAGGGAAGTTATATTTCTCACAGAGCAAGGTAAATACTTGTCAAAAATCCATCAACTTTATTGTTTAGTTTCCACTACAAAAGACTTCTTTTACTAATACAGTTGTTAAATACTAGGATTCCAAAACCTATATAAATTGATTTTTCTTAGTATGTGTGGTGGTAATTCACTAAGTTCATAGATCTCTAAAAATGCAATGAAGTGGTAACTTAAGACCATATGCTTTTAGTAAAGCTAATGATGCAAGACTTTAAAAAGTGTGCCTAAATTCATCCTTAGACAATAAGGGACCGAATTTTAAACAGTGCTGAGCACTGAATTGTTGGGCGCCCAGCACTTTGAAAACCAGGCTATTTTTTAGGTGTCTAAATGTGTACTTTGGCCAAGGTGTTTGAAAACAGTGTGCCTAATGTCTTACTGTTCGAAGAAATGGTATCCAAAGAAGTATTGTGCATACACCTGTGTGACACACTATAACTCTGATTTATCCAAAATGTGAAAAACATAAGTATAACCTTAAATTTACAAAACCTGTTTAAAGAACCTTTTAAACCTTGACTTCAAACTCAGGGACATTTATGCTTTATGTGTGGCCTATCCAGAACCTCTTGGAGAAAGACTTTATACCGAGACTAAATTTTTTTTGGAAAATCATGTACGCCATTTGCACAAGGTAACTATTATATGACTAAAAATATGCATGTTTTGTCACTGTACTTTAAAAAGAAATTCTGCAAGTCCTATGTGGATAGATGTAGCTGACAAGAGTACATATTCTTGCTGCTTTCACTACTCCTTAAAAGGAGTATAAAACATGGTCTCATAACCCAAAAGTGGTACAGTTTGTTACATTTTGTTGGCTTGAGGGGGATTGTAAATGTGTTTAGTGTGACTGGATAACTTCAACTATAATTATTTAAATAGTTTTCCAAAAGCCGCTTATACTTCTTTATTGTTTACTGGTAAAAAAGTTGAAAAAAGGAGGGAGGGGAGAGGATGGGGAAGCAGAAAATTAGATTACCAAAGCATTGTCCAGCTGAGTATTTGCATTATAAACATGTACTAATGAGGATATTTCAGCAATTCTATTTTTGTCATTCATATACCCATTGACTCAATCAAACTATATTTTTTCCAGCATGTAGTATAAATCAAGTTTCCATGAAATAGGGACTGTCTCAGTTTGTCTTTATGGCTTGAAGTACACTACTGAAACTCATAGTAATCGATTGACTCTGTTATGCTGTCAGAATTGTAATATACTGCACGTGCATAGGTACACGATATTTTGCCATTACATTTGGAAGTGAACATTTACAATATGGCATGTTTTTTCCTTCATAGCGTGTTCTGGAATCTGAAGAACAAGTACTGGTTATGTATCATAGATACTGGGAAGAATACAGTAAAGGGGCCGACTACATGGACTGTTTATACAGGTAAATTTTGCTAACAAGTTTTTCAGCAGTGTAACTGGAGGTTACTGGAGTAAGGAAGTTTTTGAGAATAATTTGTACAGAGTTGACTAAAGGATGCTGTAGAAGATGAGATTGCTCACCTAATATGGTGGTAGCTTTAGCCATGGTTAGAATATGGCCCAGATCATTAATGACTACTGTGTTATTATTTGATGGTCTATATGAAATAGGATCGTGATCTCAATTAATGTTTAGTGCAATGGTTCCCAAACTGTGGGGATGGTCTAGTGATGATGTGTGGAACACATGCTAGTGGTCCACAAAAAGTTAGCTGGCTAAATTGTGCCAACTCCGTTTTCCGTTTCTACATGCTATGTGCATTAAAGATAGGAGGGAGTTCTTTGTAGCTCCAAAGCTTCTCTCTTACCCACAGAAGTTGGTCCAATAAAAGATATTACCTCACCCACCTTATCTCTCTGTAGTTCAGTAACCTTGTTGTATGTAAGAATTGTTCAAGTGATGCAATTTCTATCCTTGGTGCAAATAGAATCTGATCTTGCAGGCAAGGCCTTTTTGAATAGCAGTGCCCTTCCTTTGGGTTGGCACCTGCACGCTGAATGGCCTCTTGATTCTTGTAGCGAAAGGCATACAGGACAGTGAGGCCTCAACCATCGCTCAGTTCCTTCTTACTGCCTGTGACTGCAAGATGGAGCATTGGCAGCATCTACATCCTTTGCTTCTAGGGATTAGGCTATTACTTTAGTACCTTTTTAGGTAGCTTAGAGTAGTTATTGGGCTAGATTTGTTAGGTTTCATTTTTGCCCACTGACCTTCAAAATAAAACCCCTTTATGGATAGCTGTTTTCTTTCCATGCATGCAAAGCAGCATGAGTGAATGAGACCCCCTAGGAGAAGTGGGTGGAAAGAACAGGAAAAGCCAAGTTAATACTGATGTTCTTACTCTATATTATGTAAAACTTTAAATTTGACACTTCATTGATTTTTTTGGACGTGTATAAGCTTCACAAGTGTGTTTGTGAGGACTATATACCATCATGTCTCACTTAAAAATCCTGCTTTTCTCAAGGTTTTTTCTAAATTACTTGTATAGTGAGAACGCCATATGAAAATAAAAATGTTATCTTCAGTTTCTGGTATAAAGGTTGAAACCTGTATAGTTTCCAAAGAACTTGTTGGATGAAGATTCTAGGTTTGCAATACAGCATTCCGGTTTTATATACATAAAATTTGCTTTTCCTGTTCTTTCTACTCAAAGGGTTTATTTGAACTGATAGACTTGGTGCCAATTGATTCAGCTAAGGGAGTGGCTCCTTTCCAAACATGCCTAGAAAGAAATTTAGTTTATGCTGTGAGAGGAAGAAAAGGATGCAATCTTCTCTCCTTTGAACTTGTTTGATTCCCAGTCTTTGCTTTGTTTTTTTTGTCTTGCGGTAGTGCCTAGAGGCCCCAGTTGAGGATCAGACCCATTGTGGTACACACACTGCAACATAGCAAAAAGATTATCCATGCCCCAAGATGTTATAATTTAAATATAAGACAAGATACCAGGCGGATATGACAAATAGTTGACTTAAGCACACGATAACATACTGATCATAATCCTCAACTGATAAGCAGCAGTTACATCTCTCCAGCTGTCTAATTGTCAATTGTTTTATAGGCATCATGGCAGAAGTATAATAAGGAGAAATTTGAAGGGCAATGCAGTGGCTTTAAAGGTAGCATGCATGAAAGAGTGAAGAGCTGATTGAAAAGTTGGATAAAGGGAACAGTGTTGGGGTAGGAATGATGCTGGGGGTGGAGTAGAGCTGGAATTTGGTGCTTGCTCCTTGTGTGGGCTGGCACAGGTCCCGCTGCGTGCCTCCCCAAATAGTCCTTGGGGATGAGGGGGCCACAGTTTGGGGATCACTGCTCTACTCACTGTTGTAGCCTAAGTATTTATTTAAACTGACTCAGCATGTCTCATTCCCTAGACCTTTAGTCTTACCTATATTGCTTTCAAGCTTAGGCTTTGGCAAAATTGGAATTCACCCCTATAATGACTAGAAGATAGAGCTGCTAGCCACTGAAATTTTACATTGATAGATACTAGCAGTTTCAGAAGCCCTTAGTGGGCATGATCAATAGTGGGTAAACGTAGCATATGAGGGGCATTAGTTGCAGTGCATTGAGGTCTCTTCCAACCCTGATATTCTATGATTGTTAAATGGTGTATTCTTATTGAAGGCATTTTCAAAATCCGCAGGTGGTGTTACGCAATACATGTGCAGCGAG